CAAGTTACGTGTGCTTAATTGGCTGGAAACAATAGTGATGAATTTGTGAGGCATTTTCGGGGGGAAAGTAGTCTGAGTATAGAGAAATCTACACAGACATGCAGATCATTTAAAAACGTCAATTAGCACCTTTAATTAAGGGCCCACTTAGAACACTAACCAGCAGGCAAGGGTATTGCGGAGCCTTGCAGCCAGTCCGTTTCTTTTTTTCATATTAGTCTGGTTTTAGATTAAAGGAAAAGACAGGAAATAAAACTACATCCTAGAAAAAAAAACGAACTAATACTTTGAGATTTAGGGGTTATTACTGGTCAAGTCTCCACAGGATACAAGGGCACAGACAGCGCCAAGTCTCATTAACAAAGGCCCCCGTTGTCTCGGGGCGGCCCGGCGCAGGGGAACCGCTTTTGGTGATGAACCATAAGCGACAGACCAGCGCGGTCTAGAACACTGTAAATCGCTTTACTTTCAGATTAATTCAGATAGACGCATTTGATTTGGAAAAAAAAAGCTTAAATGACCTAAGAAATGTGTATTTTTGCACTAGAAAGTGTCTGTTTGTCCCGAATAACACGCATCAACGACCGCTCCCCAAACAATAAAAAGCCGGAAAATCCATAAGAGAGTTTCAGCTTTTGGGCTTTTTATAACTCCTTTTCGTTCTCGTAAAGGTAAACAGCGTGGATGTCCTTCAGGTGGGTAGCTGCGTCAGCGTGCATAGGCTGCAAAGGAACAAAAGGTTTGTTCCGTGCTGAAAAGAGAAGAAAGAAAATACAGCCGTAGTTTCGGCCGTAGAGCCTTCTTCAGTTGTGAGCTGATGTCACCGATTTAGGTTTTAACTGCAGCAGTCCGCGCTAGTATGCCCTAATTTTAACAAGAAAAGACTTTGTTAAAAGTCTTTAATGATGTACGTAAATAAGTGTAATGGAATTCGTAACGTCTTTTGGACAATATAGAAACCGTTTTATATTCATATACAATATGTACACACTCGAATTATTCGGCTTGTGTGAACGTTTTGCCGCTGGTAGGACAATATTTTTTCACACACAACGAAGCGGTCGCTTTGTACTGGTGTAGTGCCTTGGTTTTTGTGTTTTCTGCGGTTTGAGAGATAGCAAGATCGAGAAGGGTTTTTTTTCCCCCAGAAGGCCAGTTTCCATAACAACAGTTCCAAACTAGAGCTGGCTGTTGCATCTATCTAGTTTGTTTGGTCATTAGTAGTTAGTTCATCTGAGGGGCTTTTCCACCCATTTCTGGAAAGAAACAAGGGTAATCGCTTCAACCACATGGTTGGGTGGCATGTTCCAGACACCTGCAACTCTTTGTGTAAGGAACTGCCTCCTTTTCATCTGTTTTAAATGCCATTTCTGCACATGAATGCAACCATGTGCAACCCTTAACAATATGTTAGTCACCACCTAACCTCATAAAATATTTTTTTTGCTGTAGACAGACCTGTGAACACAGCGGCAGTGATATCACTGACAAAGGTAACGTACAGTAAGTGTTCGTTTCCCACATTACATAACTTCAGGAAACCGAAATGAGCACCTTCAGTATAATAGCACAGCACTGGAACATGTTCAAACTTCAGCTGGCACCAGGAACTCTTAACGGCGGGCTGTGTGAGCATCAAGGGGTTTCTAAAGGAACGAATTGGTGTTTTGACAAAACATCTCCCATGCTACCATTTTGCGGTCAGCAAGATAATATCCAACACCGTGATAGCTTGTTTTCACAAAATCAAAGACTCCTAAACTTCAGTACTTTCTACCAACAGGATATGACATAGGAATCATTCTACACCATTAGTCCAGAGCTGTTCCCAATCAGTCTGCCCCACTGCAGAAATTTGCTCCAATCATCAACTTAATTGCTACCGTTGATTTCCAATTCAATAATTACAGACCTGGTAGGAGCAAAATCCTGCAATGGATTGGATAGGAAGGACCACTAGTTGATCTATGCTCTATTCTATACTCAGGGGTGTCAAACCCAGTTACTGGAGTAGGACATTTAATTACTGTAACACTGTAATTTCAGATCCTGCAGAGTGAAAAGCCAGTATGAACACCTTACCTGCACTTTTCCAGGAGCAGATCTGGCCATTCCAGGCCTGAGTAAATGAAATACAACCCATGCTGAACTGATCAGACTCTTACAACCGGTCCCAAGACTTATAAATGGATAAAAGTGACTTGCAAAACCAGCTGGGGTGTTGTTACTTGGCAGAACTAGTGTTGGCTGACTATTGCAATAGTTCACCGCCATTCTGCTGCAGCGCACGTTTGACAAAATGAAATGTTAGTCCGATTCAAAATCCCTAATGCAGGGATTTACCAGCACCTGCAGCCCTGATCGCCATCCTAATACAAGCAAAGTCACTTCAAAGTGACGCCACTGTGTACAGTCAGCCACCAGACATTGCAGAAGGCTGATGTCTTGGGCAGATAACTGCATACAATTAATCCTCCAGAACCCCCCCCCCACCACCACCCCTTTCTTACCCAAGCTGTTTCATTGGCAAACAGTTGACGTATTGCTTGGAGGGGCTGTTATGGGTCATGCCGATGTCCCTGCAAAGGCCAGTCCATGAGAATGGGCAGAATCTCCCACAGTTAGCTGAATAATGAGAATCCAAGCCGAGCTGACACGTTGGTGGACTTCTGCAACTTTGCGAGCTTTGTGCACATTCAATCAAAAAACAAAAATGTTCCAAGGGAGAGTTATTTCTCCGTAGTTCTGGAAGATCAGTGTCATTTTGTCCATCCATCTCCCAGATAAGATGTGACCATCATTTTCAGTACTCTCTGCATCTCCAGGGGCCACACTGTGAGGGGCTATACTGTATGCCCAGTGTTACAGTATGTACACCGTGTGATGTAGCTTCCTCCTCTCACTCCATTACAAGGGCTGCCACTGGTAGAACAACCTAAGAATCATCCTTCTCAGAGGGCTAACTCTGCTAACTAGGACCTTTATTTTACAAAGGACCTCCCACAGTTCATTATATCAAGACACCGCACAATCGCACAGGAATCCACAAATTAAGACAGCAAATTAGACCGAGTTCAGAATCTAGAGTGTGAAAGCAAGGATTTTCAGGAATTGAAAGTGTCTGAAATGATAGGGGCTGGTGGTTCGACATACTGTACATGTTTTGTGTCTGTGATAGTGAAGTTGAAAAAACTGCCTTCGTTGTCGATCTTGTAGGAGGTGTGAACAGCGATGTCAGGTTCCGTGTCTGACAACATGCTTCCATTGCTTTGCCATTGAAAGAAAAAGCAAAATAAAAAAACAAACAACCTGCTGTCTTCTACGACCTGCTCTGTAACCCAAGGCCAGTGGCCAGGCTTTTAGAAACGTACAGCTACCTTGAACTGGGAGAGATGGAGCCCATATCTGTATTCATATCTGTGAACTGTAAACAGGTTCTGAAAACAATCAATCTATTGGCTAAACAGTCCCCAAGTGTAAACAGAACCCATGGTGGTTGTAATTTCAATAGTGATTGAGACTGGATATTTTTACAATGCTTCTCGTTCAGTACCTCTTTGCCCACCTGCCTGACGCATAGACCTGTGTAGTGTGACTCTGACATTTGTAAATTGTGATGCGGCGATTGATCTGTTTACTGAAGGGGATCTGGGAATTATTGATGGCACTTGTTTGGAGTTCATTCATGTCTTGTACATGCATTTCTTTGTTGTTGTTTTTTTTGTAATGGGAACATTATTCTTTTGATTGTTGAAGCAAAATTAATCTGGAGCTGTTAAATCGACCCTCTCTGCCATATTTCACACACAATCTGTCCTAACACCACAGACTGTGTGTTTTCACAAGACTCCTACTCTACAGATTGACTCTAAATATACTTTCTCAGCCTCCTGTAATAAAAAATGATATACGTAGCTGCAGTCTGCAAGCACAGTGCCATGTTGTTTTAATCCTGTATCGACACTATGGTGATACTATGATGTCAGTGAGGCGACTGTAGACATTATAAAGATCTATTTTAGGGCCTTTAATTAATATGTCTGCCAAACGCCAGCAATGGGTGGTTTGAGTTATTATGTGAAAAGATTAAGTGTTTATCTTTAAACGATCATGATGTTCCACGGGTTAATTGGTATTTGTACAAGTCCTGCCTGTTATCCAACACGCACAATAGCTTTCTGTAGAGTCATCTAGCAGTGTGGCCTTCCCTAATGGAGGAGGAGGAGAATTCCTTCATCTATCCTTCATCACACAAAGGAAACATTTTCAGCGAACAAGGGGAAGAGGAGATTGTGGAACTTGGCATCACGTGACGGCATCATGACCATAGATTCTTACCATGTTTTACACAAGCACGCGCACAAATCTGTGTACTTTTGTAGTTCAAATCTTTTCACCGAATCTGTCCTAGTTTTCACAGCACAAGAATGTTCTCACGCGAGGGCAAGTCTAATTAGCCCACCCACAACCCTAGATTCTGGCTCAAAGACGGCTTTCGTGAAGGAAGAGAGGTTATCAGCATCAACAAAATCAGCGTCGCTTGTTCCAGACTACCGCAACTCTTCGCGTGAAAAAGCTATAAAAAACGGGGTTTTATAGGCACTTCCTCTTAGTTCCCGTTTGCCTCTTTCGACTCGTGTTTCCCATTTTATTCTGAATAAATCCGTTGTATTGACGTTATAAGAGCGAAACAAAATGGTTTTAAAACGAATCTTTAACAACCCCCTCCTTTTGAAGACGACTAACAATATCGATTTGTTTTCTTAAGCACTGTGGGTGAAATGTTTTTGTTTTACTGCTGTTGAAAATAATTTGCTTTGTTTCTATGCGGTGGGATAAACACAGAAGTGCATTTCTTGTGCTTAATACTCCACCTAGGCCAGCTGGGATAAAACAATGAGAGTGTGGGTCGTCTTAGAAGCAGTCTTGATTGGATTACGGGTGGTGAGAGATAGCAGAGAGGAGGAAGCTTGTGAACACACGAAAGAGCGAGATGAAACAGGTTTCTCCCTCAGTGACACACGCACACACCCCCAGCAGACAATGAAAAAGCTATTTGAAGGTCGGCGGACTGGCTGGAGCGCTCAGTCCCTCTCTCTGCCCACAGTGAGTTACTACAAGTACACGCCTCGCGCAGTTAACGGGGTTTTTAATGCGGGGGGCTAAGCATTTCGGGGCTTTTGAGAGAAAACCAACTTTCCTGCGCGACTGCCGGTTGGGAAGGACGAGACACCTGTCGGCTTCACTCGGTTACGGAAAGAGGAGAAGACGCGCGCTGCTTATTCTGAAATAGCGCACACCGGTGGATAATCCTTTACTCAAAAAACTTGTTAGGCTTCGGTGGATGGTGATGCTTCGGGACATTTGTTTAACCAAGGTTAAGGAAAAGCTGGTTATAGAAGTTCAAGGTGAGTGCTGAATGACTAGTAAAAGTTGCTATGTTTTCTCCGCGGTAACAAATTCAGTTGTGCGGGATGTAACAGTACGTGATTACTGTGTTACAGAGACTGATTATTAAATTAGTGGGTGTGATATTGTTACTAATGTTTCGTCCGATTTTAAATTTAAATGCGACTTTTTGGCTATTCTAGAATTTTCGATGAAAATGTTTCGTTTGTTATAACAATCATTATTAGTCATATTTGTGTATGACACCATAGTTTTTTTAAGAAAATGTTTCTTACAGTTACTTAAATATCTGGAATCGGAGTTAATGCGTAGGGGGTGAAATGGGTGCGAGGTAAACACTGAGAACTACATTGTTTTTGTGATTTTCAAAAAAAGCTCCGGCATATTAGCACCCCAGCGAACTTCACAAATGCCTTCTCAAACATTACAGCATATGAGGTTTATTACAATGTTGCTGGGACTTGCTGTTACATTTCCGAGCTTGATGGCAGTGTTTATGTCCCGGGACCAGCTTATATTTGTTCCTGGAAACAAACTCCACTGCTTGTGCCTTTGTTTTTGAGGTTGTAATTGGGTTTCTGTACCAGACTTTGTGTAGAGTTTGTGCAAGACTCTACTCTGCGGCGCTCATCCTTAAACCGTAGGTGGCTGAGTAATTTTCAGTGGCAGTAGGTTAGTTTTAACCTGTGACCCCCGGTGTAATGCTTTCACATTCAATGTGAATCACAGGGTCCTAATTGCTTCGAAAAGGCAGCCTTCTAGTTTGAAAACACGTCGGTTTGCAAGTCTCGAAGCTACTGCCGTACATGTAGAGTCGAGTATTTTTTGCTGTCTGTGACTGTTTCAAAGGGTTTGGAAGTTTGACTAACATCCTTGAGACTGCCGTTTAGTATTCATGATAATAATCCTTACACTCATAGCGCTTTTCTGGACACCTGGATGACTGTGTATCAGCAGCATTTACCACTATGTGCACTGTAAAACGACACTTCATGTGGCCCAGAGAACCCAGATCACTTCAGCAGCGCTCAGGCATGTACTGTAACAAACAGACGTTTCTTATCCAGACATGATTCTCTCCGTCCCGCAGAGAGTAGCGGGTGAGGGCAGTCCCGGTCCTGGAGGGCCGGCTGGTGTGTCTGCAGCTGTTCTCGGTCTCTTGAAAGCAGCCGCCGCACCTGAGCAGCTGGGAGACGCTGTTAATAACGAGCTGGGCTGGAATGAAACCCTGCAGACGCGCCGGCCCGACAGGACCAGAACTGCCGAACCCGGACGGAAGAGAATCGGCTGCGGATATTCTGCAGCTGCTTCAGGTCACTGCCAACAGAACCTCGGCTTCACATCCTGGGTTCAGTCACTGCAGTCCCCGATAACCGCTCTCCCCAAACGATGAGGCGTGCCCGTAAGTATTTGTGATACTTTTGTAAATTTTGTACATAGATATTTGGTACATACAAAGTTAAGCTGCCATCGCAAAAAGGGAGCATGGCGACATTCCTAACAGGGAATAATCGAGTTTGACTTCATAATGGGAAGTGGTTTGAAAAAGTGATGATGCGAATTTTGCTGTAGTCCTTTATCGTGTCCTGCAACCTTCAGGCAGGTTGTCTGCGATCTAATGCCTCGCAGAAGTGAAGCCTGACCCGTTATTTCTGGAATACCAGTACGTTAGCGCAGATAGTCAAGTCCCATAGGTGGTGTGTGTTAATTTCCCATACGGTTAGGTCCCTGACGCTCACGGCGTCCGCAAACAGCACTCAACACGCCAGCTTCGAGACATAGTTGTTCATGTGTTAATCCATTTTCTGTATTTTTGTTTCCAATAATTATTTTCACAAACCTTTTGATATATTGGAAATATAGTGCAGGTGGGTCAGTGGTTTGCATTGCTGGGGCCCTGGGTTCAGTTCCTGGGAGCTGTCTGTGTGGAGTCTGTACGTTCTCCCCATGTTTGCAATGGTTTCCTCTGGGTTCCTCCCCAAGTCCAAAGACGTGTTGCTGGGTTAACTGGCATCTGGGAAAATTGGCCCTGGTTGCGAGTGTGTGTGTTTGTGTCTGTAAGTCTGCCCTGTGATGGACTGGCGTCCCACCCAGGGTGTATCCCGCGTTGCAGTTAGAAAACATCTGGATGGAAATGTAGTGCTTCAACAACACGTCGCTCACAAATTGTGAGGATGTAAGAGACTTTCACCAGCCATGCAATCTTGATGAGTATTATCCTGTAAACCAAAAGTAGTTCTATCAGAGCACTTGGGTTGTTGAGGAATGATTCCAGTTACCCAGCCTGTTCTCAATGGTTTGAAATAGTGTTTTGTAGTATTGACGTGAAAATTATTTGTATTTTTGGTTTCGAGAAGGGAGCTGTACCTTCCCTGGATTTAGCTAGAAACCTCCCCTGGTTCCCTTTAAAATATCCATTGGACGTCTGGTGAATCAGTATTTTTGTAAGGTGGCGTGTCCCTCGTAGGGTGGGAAGTGGTGATGGGGTGCAGAAACTGGACAGAGAGGTGCATGTGTACACAGAGCCTTGCTCTAATAGGAGCGCTGCTTGATGCACAGCTGATGAGAACAGGACGTGATTGATGTGCACACTAATCCTCGTTTGATTCCTGCTGTTTCTTTCACGTTTGTATTTGGGCCTGGAGCATCCTGGAACGTTGTAGGTCATGAGGTAATCAAGCAAGGGGATGGTTTGCCACTTAATCAGAAGCCTGGCATGAGAGGGGAAATGGACACATTTAAAACGTTGGATTTCCACAACTCCGTAGTTGTGTGCACGAAGCCAGTAAACATTAAACTATCCCATTCTGCTCTTCATCAGTAGCTGCTTTCCGAAGTTAGCTGGCTTCTTCAAACAGCTGAATCCTGTTCTCCATAAGGGTAATAGACTGCACTAGAAACAGGCTGGAGGAGAGCAGCTTTCCAATAGGTAATGACAGTAGACACTGCCATGTCCTTCACAGCACATAAGCCCCCTGGATACAAGTTGTGCACGCTGGGTCCCTCTATTTATCCTGGAGAGCCCCAGCCCAGCAAGTCTTGTAATCCAACATGAAATCGGCAGTTTCTTAAGGGTGCAATTCCATGTTTGTCATTTATTAAATTATTTGATTTGGAGATTGTTTAGGTTGATAATCTACATCCATGTTATTCCACAACACAAGTAGAATTTGCTCCATGACGTTTGACATGGACTTATAAAACCTGCTTCTCTGTTGTGCTCCAGTCATGCCAGTTCTACAGTGTTCCTTCATACTGGTGACAAGATGAATGCCTGTTGCTCTGCAGAACACTAACGTCATGTTATTTCATGTATGGCTTTTCTTCAGTCTACAGAATGTCTGCCTCCAAAGACGGAGACCCAAGGGAGCCATGAAATAAATGATCGAACCCATGTACCTTGTCTTTCCAGGATTGCTACGCCAGCCCTGGTAGAAGACCATCTCAAGCCAACTCTTGCCAACCCTCCAGACCTGACCTTTGAACCCGGGACACCATGACAGTGACCTATACTGCCCGGGTGGCCAATGCCCGCTTCTGTGGGTTCTCCAAGCTGCTGTTGGCCTGGAAGGGAAGCATCTACAAGCTCCTGTACAAGGAGTTCATGGTGTTCTTTGCTCTGTACATGGCCATCAGCGTCACCTACAGGTAAGCCCATGAGCCCATCGGCTTGACGGTTGACCAGAACTGGTGCAGGAATCATCTGCATGTACCTGCTTGAATTTAATCAAAGCTGAATATCGCTCTTGTTTTGTGATCTCTGTGAAGCTTGCCTTTGCAATTAGACATTTCATTGCCAGCAAATGTATTGTTGTGCATTTTATAAATACAGTTGATTAATTGACTTTACAGTTCAGAGTATTGCCCCATTTTAAAGACTTGGCTGAATGGCTGCCCTGCTGGGTCATGCCTGACGGTCAGAGTCGTCTGTGACTTGTGATCCCCATAGCTCCCTACAAACAGCTGGTACCACCTGGAAGAGTGTTTTTCCCTGGTGCCACTGCCGGTCTGCAGGTGCTGCTATTGACAGGCACCCTGCGTGACGGACACCTTCTCTATCCCAGGCAGTGCTCGGCCAATCGGTTTCTGCTGCATGGGCACTGCAAGTCCCAGCAGGTACCAGCAAGAGGAGGTCACCTGAGGGAACATGGGTAGTTAGTTAAAAGTGTATAGACAGAAATTATAATATTCCCTGATAATAACTTATTTGGGTGTTTGTATGTTTGTAGCTTAATTATTCAAAATCCCATGAGGCCATTTCCCCTTGGAATGAGTTATTACAGTGACGTGAGTAGGACAGCCAATCCCAGGATCCCAGAATCCTCTGTGTAAGGTAGTTGTCAAAAGTCATGAAACCCCAGCCAGGCTTCCAGCCCTTTGCTGGCTGCCACACTACAGCGTCATGCTCTTTTCCTTTTCTTCAGGTTTCTGCTGCTGGAGGATCAGAAGAGGTACTTCGAGAAGCTGGCCATTTACTGCAACCACTACGCCAGTCTCATCCCCATGTCCTTCGTGCTGGGTAGGTGTGCTCCTGTCCTCCGGGCGAGAGGAAGTGACACACGGGGCTGTTCTCTCTGTGTCATTCCCTTTTAGAAACGCTGAGTACAGTCTCGGGGGTAAGCAGGATCTCCAGTGCGCAGGGCGAATAGGCGCCCTCAGCCCTTCCCGGCGTGCGCCTAGCGTGCTGTGTGTGTGACTGTCCCTCCTTCCCATGCAGGTTTCTATGTCACGCTGGTGGTGAACCGCTGGTGGAACCAGTACAAGTCCATCCCGCTGCCCGACAGGCTGATGTGCGTGATCTCCGGCGGGGTGCAGGGCAGCGATGAGAGGGGGCGTCTCCTCCGGCGCACCCTGATGCGCTACGCCAGCCTGTCGGCCCTGCTCATCCTCCGCTCCGTCAGCACCGCCGTCTTCCGGCGCTTCCCCACCATGGACCATGTGGTGGAGGCCGGTGAGCGTCCCCCCGCCTTCCCCTGGCCACGTGCCCGGGGAATCCCCAGTCGCTCAGAGCCTCAGTCCTGCTGCTGGCTCTCATGACATTCAGAGACACTAATCTTAATGAGGCCAGAAAATGGTCTGAAATCTCACCTGGCTGGCATTTCCACTAGCTTTCCAGGTTGAAGATCCCTCTTCAGATACATTTGTCTAGAGCTGTTCCCTCTTGCTTCCCAAGCTGCAAAGTTAACTCATATTGGGAATCCAGGGACCCCAGCCTTGCTCCCCAACCCATCAGTGGGATATCAGTTTTAGTAGGGTTAGGGTTCTTTAAATAATGAGTGAGAATGGTCCTGTTATCAGTCTTCTGTCAGCAGTAGGACCTGGAAGATGTACAGTTCCAGCTAAAACCTACTGTGGTGTTTGTCTACTCTCTTTTGTGCTTGGTGTTTTGTCCCACAGTCAAGGCTGCTTAGTGTGACGGGATCTGTATAGAAAGTCTGCCGATGTCTACAGCTGTTGTGTTAGGCTGTGCTCTCCAAGGACTGGAAATAAATTCCTGCTTTAGAACGGAGTCCCTGGAAAAGCCTCCTATTTGTCTCTGTTGATTCCAAACGCCAGCCTTTTCAGATTTTAGATGGTGGACTGGATGGGGTGATTTTTAAACCAAAAATGGCAAAGGGACAAATTGAAAAAGGTGGATCAGTTACATAAAAGTTTCTGTAAACCTGCTCACTTGGACTTAAAACTATTTTTTATGAAGATCCATGTTTCTGTTTTCAGTCTGCATTCTGTATTCCAGATTTTTGAGCAGATCAAATAGGGCAGCTTCCGTTTTCAGAAAAGGAAGCATGGTCAGTGCTGCTCTGCGGGTCCTGCACCTTCAGTGCAGGTTACAGTGAGGTGAAAAACGAATCGGTCTCCATACGTTTCAGCTGGAGTGCTCCTGTGTTTCTGTTCAGGGTTCATGACCAGAGACGAGCGCAAGAAGTTCGAGAGTCTGCAGTCGCGCTACAACAAGTACTGGATGCCCTGCGTCTGGTTCACTAACCTGGCGGCTCTGGCCCGCTGTGAGGGCCGCATCAAGGACGACAACACCCTGAAGCTGCTGCTGGAGGTATGGCAGGCTGCGCAGGCATGCGCAGGACACCTCGGTTTAGGAAAGACCCTTGGGGCTGAGTTTATTAGAGGTCCTCAGGTGGGACCCGGGAATCGGAAGAGCTGTACATCCAGACATCCTCTTTAATTGGATTTCATTGAAACGGAGTGATTAACAGAGGCTGGATTGCTGTTCATCTCCAAAGAGCACATCTGTAGATTTGAGCCATGGTTATATTTAGTTACTTGGGTAGAAATCATTTTTTCTGTGATAAAAATGGAAGAAAAAACAAAACAGAATGAAATCTTGGAATCTAATGGGCATGCATATAGTAAATGCTAGGCTGAATGGGTCTCCTCTTGGATAGGAACCCCTGTCTGTACTGTCGCACTAGGGGAGTAGCCTTCTCTGGGGATAGAAATGTTCTCATATGAGTTGTACAATACTTGCAAGCCTTTGAGATCTAGGGAACTGCCCTTTTCCCTTTCCATAGCCTGATTTTTGCTCTCTGCGTGACGCAGATTGACCCCAGTTTTTACAGTGGCTCTCTCTCCTGTCTTTCTGTCTGGCCAGGGGCTCAATGAGTTCCGAGGCAACTGCAGCATGCTTTTCCACTACGACATGGTCAGCGTGCCTCTGGTCTACACGCAGGTGGGTGATTTCTCTCTCTCTCTCTCTCCACGCTGGGTTATTAAATGGTGGCAAACCAGAAGCCCTGCTGGACTTTCACAGCAGACATTCACAGGCCTGCTGCAGATCTGTTGGTTCCACAAAGTGCTTATAGGGAATTCAAAAACCGATAGATTGACGACCTGGGATTGGGGATTACAAGGTCTTTTCATTAGGTTTGTAGCTCAATTGGTTTAAGAATCCATATCCGTAGGCCCTGTGGCCGTACAGGGCCAAGAGAAGGGATCCCTCAATCACACATGACCACTTGACCAACTGTCATACTTGATGGGAAGGTGATGACCCCGACCTTTCAGCACGAGTTTTGAAATGCATATTTTTTGGGGGTTTTAATCCCAAATCTAGGAACTTTCGGCCACACCCACCCTAGGCATGTAGTAGATTAGAAGGTCTAAATTTATTCCTAATTATGGATCAGATGGATATTTTACTAATGGTTTTTTAGTTTGGAAGTTGCCTATAAAATTATTTGGGCATAGGTAGGAAATAAACAGCTCCTGCTAACTGTAGATTAAGTTGTGCTTTTAACTTGGCTGATTTCATATTTATTTTTTTCGTCTTAAAATGTTAAAACGCTAACCTTTTGGTTTTGTGACACCCTTTGCCCTGTATCTATACAAAGACAAGTAGAAATAGCCTGCTGGTGAACTGACTGAAAGAAATCAGCTGTGAATTGAGATTTTGAATTGAATCTCTTCTGAAACCTTTAAAACTATGCAAGGTGACCCAGTCTGTACCAACTTGCGTTCTGCTATAAACTGAGGATATGAGTGTGTGTACAGAACGCAGCCTGAGCACCTGTCGGAAAAGGAGAGGAACCAGTCAGCCTGGCGGGAGAAAGACGTCCTGTTCGGGTGTTTGCTCCGCGGCTTGGCTGTATGTGATGGAGGGTCTGTCCCTTGGCAGGTGGTGACCATCGCGGTGTACAGCTTCTTTCTGGTGTGCCTCATTGGCAGACAGTTCCTTGACCCCACCCTGGGCTACCCAGGTCATGACCTTGACCTCTACATTCCCATCTTCACTCTGCTGCAGTTCTTCTTCTACGCCGGCTGGCTGAAGGTAAGAGCACCAGGCCCGGGGCGCGAATCTGGCGAATCCGGCGGCTTTGCTCCTGGGGAGTCCTCGATGATTCTTTCATGGAAACCTGTGTTGCATCAGTTAAAGGGGAACTCCTACATTTTTTTTTGTTAGATTTTGGGGTTAGAATGAAATGTACTCATCAATGCCAATTCTGACCACAATGAAAATAAACTGCACTAATGTGTACAACCTCCAATTTCTGTAAAATATGGCAAAGCACCATATTTGTCATTGTCTGTGATTCAGAACTAGGCAACAAAACTTCTGGTGAGGTGAAGTAGCCCTATTACACTGTAAACAAGCAGTCTTTAGAATACATCTCTTTTAATTCAATAGAAATATTGCTCTTGATTTTGATATGGTTTTGTCTACAAATACTACCTTGTTGTTAATTCTGAGTTGCAGATCACACTGGAACATTTCTGCGGTGAAATGTCTGCTGCACATCCTGTGCTTGATCACTTGTACATTAGTCATTACAGGGACTAGTGATCAGGAAGGGCTGCATCATGTCACAATCTTGCAAACTCTTACTATCACCTGGAGTGAGCCCAGCGATGGCAACCATACAGTACTTTCACAAAGTTCACACATTTGTGCTTAATTCTGACTTTTTTCAGAATTGTTCTATGCCATCACTGAATTTATTTTGATGCAGAGATTTAATAACGACTCTAAGAGAGTTGAGATGGAAGTAAAGGCTGTTTTCACTGACCTGCCTGCTGTGTCCCTCAGGTCGCAGAGCAGCTGATCAATCCCTTTGGCGTGGACGATGACGACTTCGAGACTAACTGGCTCATCGACAGGAACTTCCAGGTGCCTTCTTCGTCTTCAAAACTGCCAGGCAACGCTATTAAAGCCACGCAACATGATCAAGTGAACCAATTTCTTCCCTCAGACACGCGGTCATGATTGTACACCATCTAACTTGTAAGACAAAAATAGCAATGCATGTTACTGACCGATTACAAGCTTTTCAGTGTGGCACTCATTCTCGTTTGGTGGAGATCATAGCAAGGGTCTAAAAACTTTATCTCGATGTGTATTTCCCGAGATGGCGTGGACTGAATTAGGAAGGGGTTGTCTCTTTGGTATTTCTGACAGATGATAAACAATTTGGGCTGTCTTAGGTTTCTGTGAGGGGCACCTGGGTTCAGTTCCTGGGCTGCTATCTGTGTGGAGTTTGTATGTTCTCCCTGTGTTCATGAGGGTTTCCTCAGGGCGTTCCAGTTTCCTCCTACAGTCCTAAAGACATGCTGGTAGGTTCATTGGTTTCTGGGAAAATTGGCCCTGTGATGGAGTGGTGTCCCACCCATGGTCTATGCTGCCTTGTGCCCGTTGCTGATTGAGATAAACTCCAGCTTCCTCACAACCCTGAATTGGATGAAGCCATTAGAAAATGGATGGATGTGTAACAGTGTGATCAGTGGTGAGTGTATTGAAGTGGAAGTGAACGTCCGTTATAGTAGAATATTTAGTATATTATGACTTCATAGTGCGGCCACACGGAGGGGGATGGATTAATTGAAGTGGCACAGTTATTAGCAGTTTCAATCTAACCATTGCAGCGAGGGAATTTGCCGTCAGTGAGAAGCACAATGGTAGCACCTTGCAGTACCTGATCCAGTTTGCTGAACAAAACCTTACTGTGCCAAGGAAGCAGGGTTCTAACAAAGTGGCCAGACCACCCTCTGGCCTGTAGCTGCCTGCTCTCACCCTGAGGGCCGCCCCTGCTGTGCTTTGCCAGGTGTCCATGATGGCCGTGGATGAGATGTACGGCGACTTGCCGGTGATTGAGAAGGACCGCTACTGGAACGACTCGAACCCGCGCCCCCCCTACACAGCTGCTACCGTGTTTGTCCTGCGGAAGCCCTCCTTCCAGGGCTCCACCTTCGACATGACGTGAGTGTCTCGTGCACGCTGTGCAACAGCAAGCAACCTTGATCCAGAGCAGGCACAAACACCTCTCACCACTTGCAGTTGGTCTAGTTTAGAAATGTACGGACTGAGGCCGTCTTGAGTTAAATGCGCTAACTCGTATAACAATTTTGCAAAAAGAGTACAAATGTACAAGTGGAATACGTTGAAAAGTGATTCCCAAAAGCATGACTGAAAGCTAGAAACTGGATTTGTACTTGTGTTCTGTGCAGGGGCCGTATATGGCTGCAGGTGTTGCAGAAAAAACAAACGTTGCTGCAGGAGTCGGAGTGAGAGAGGAGACTGGGGAGAGTGAAATAGTTCTTATACCTGGAGCAACAGGACTTTTATTACTTGTCTCCCCCTGCTAGAAGGGAAAATGTATTCCAAATGGAGTAAAGAGGCGAAAGCAGGTTTAGATCGAGTCGGAAGTTTCTCACGTGAACCCCAAGCATTTAACGCCACACAAGGGAAGACGGGCAGACACTGGCAGGGCCCTTTCTCCTGCCGGGGGGTTCTCTGTGTCTTAAAGCGCTGTGAGGGCTGCTCCCTGTTTTCCTTGCAGGGTCCCCAAAGAGGAGATGCAGTTCCAGCCGCTGGAGGACATTGCAGAGAACCTGGAGGAGCCCCACAATGCCCACAACAGCACGGCGCTGCTGAACCGGCTGCTGAGCGCCGCCCCCTCGCCCGCCAGCCTGGGCAGTGCGTTTACGCGCACCACTGCCCGCCTGCAGCGCCTCGGCCGGCGGCCCAGCTGCGACTCCGACAGCAGCTCCCTCAACTCCTGCCTGTGCCCGGACACCCAGAGCACGCTGTGCAGCTGCGGCGCGGTCAGCCAGCACGTGCCCCTCAGCGCCATCCAGTTCTCCGCGGGCGAGTGCGAGTGCGAGGGCGAGGGCGAGGCCTGGCCACGCCAGCCCAGCGAGGAGGCCGAGGCCGAGCTGCCAGCCCTGCCCTCCGGCGACACGGTGACACTCCCTGCGGCGGGTGGCCAGGATGAGGAGCTGGCCAAACTCCCCTGCTGCCTCACGCCCACGCCTGCGGCAGAAAAACGAAACAGGGTCCCGGGGGCGCATCCCAAGGAGGGCTCCGGCCTGCGGCTGTCTCCGGTCCATGGGAGCTCGGTCCAGGATTTTGGCGCTTTCCACGCAGGTGACAAGAAGAAAGCCCCGCCCCTGCTACCACTGCCCAATGGGAAAGGGGCAGGGCGGTCCATGCTGTGCGTCCCGACCAATGGCAGCTTGAATTCTGTAGAACAGCTGGAGCAGCAGCCCCCTCTTCGCTGCCCAGCTGTTGCCAAGTTCAATCAGCGCCTCCGCAGTGTCAGCATGGGCTCAGAGTTCAGCGGCCCTCTCCCACAGCTTCACCTCAGCACGGGAGGAATGCGTCTGAAGAGCCAGTATTGTCCCACCGAGACAAGCATCTACTAAGGCAGGAGCAGAATGGACTGAATCCTGGGAAACTAAGTGCTACTTTCAACCTGCTCTTGCTCTAAAGAGCAAATGATACTCTGCACATGGAAGCTGGGAAACCAAAAAAAAAAAAAGGTTAAGCTTTTATAATGGAGTAAGTCATGTGCACCTGAAAATAATTTTTTCCATTCACAGTAGGAGTTCTTGGTTTAGGAGTTAGCGTTCCATCACTTTCTTACAAAAAAGTTTTATAAATTTTATATCGCTTCTTCTTTCTTTTGTTAAGGCTGTCTTGACACAGCCAAAGTATTACTTCTTTGCTCTTCTAAAATAAAATTGTCTATTTTAAAACTAGAAATGGGGGGTGTCTGTTTTCTTTCTAGGTGAGCTTAGACAGTGAGCCCTAGCAACCTCAAGGCAAAGGTTATCAAAGCCTTCCTGCACGTAGTACTGTTTAGAAAAGGTGGGGCTGATTTCCGGATGAAATTTAATGATGTCCATGGGGGTGTGAGTCTTCAGCCATGTTCATGCTTTCATGTTTTGGTTAGTTTCATATGCGGTGATATCATCCTTTATTAAAGGGGTAGGGCAGGCCCTGCAGAGGACACCTCTGTTTAGGAAAGACTCTCAGGGCTGAGTTGGTATTAGGGGTCCTCTGGTGGGATGGAGAAGCCAGAAGAGCTCAACATCCACCAATCCTCTTTAACTGGATTTCATTTTAAAAAAATGAAACTAGGGTGAATTCCAGTCATTAATTTTGTTTGTTTTTTTTACTTCTTTAAATGCCATGACTCAACCCCTATAGATGTGACGAATGTTACATGGGCAGGAGTTGGTTTCTCTAGAATGTAAATATTCTGTTTGTTCGTATGAGACCTTGAATTATTGATGAATAATAATGATCACAAGTGAGCTAGGGCTGCACCAGAGGCCTCGCAGCCTCTGGGAAAGAGAGCAGCAGAGGTCAGGCAACTGCAGCATGCCTCTGGTCTGCAAGCACCTGAGTGATTGCACTCTGCATGCTGGGCTATTAAGTGTCAGCAAACATGAAGCACCACTGGATTTTCCCAGCAGACATACACAGAGCTACTGATTCCAGAGAGCTGTTGGCCCTACTGGGATTTGTAAGGAATTTACAATGTGCAGGGCTGAAGACCTGGCATTGTAACATCTTTTGATTAGATCTAAAGCTCATTCAATTAGGTCAAGAAAAACCTAGAATCCCCATTAGCAGAGCCTGCAGCTGTGTAGGTTCAGGAGAAGGGAGCCCTCAGTCACACATGACCACCTGACCACGTGGTCACCCTTGCCATGAGGGCAGGACTAAGACCTTTGAAATTCTATCGGACTTCCATCTGAAATCTAAGAAATCAGTCTCATCCAGCTCAGACGAGAAATAAAGGAGAAGAAGGTCAGAGTTTTATTCCCGATTGAGATTCAGCAGGATACTTTTTTTTTTAGTTTGGTAGTTGCCTATAAAAAGTTTTGAGCATGCATAAGAAACAAACAACTCCTGTAAACTATGGATTAAACCATTTTTTTTTAAGTGAGCCGGTTTCACGTTAGAGAAGAATAGCATTTATTTACGGATTGTGCAGAAACACAAACACAGCTGAATTGTAACGTGAACCTCTGGCTTGTCTTTTAACATTTCATCTCCCTTATTTTTATGATTCTGAACACAAAATGGATTTAAATGTGTAAAAGGACAGAAACATGACCACTGCAGTATCTAGACCCTATTTTATTTGTAGTGCAAAAGAATTACTGACAGACTTGAGTTTTAACTAACAGCCAGTATATTTCCCACTGCCTAGATTCCCCATGTAGTACAGAAAAAATTAAAACATCTAGAACAAAATATACAAATCCCCAAAATGCTCTTTCTCTCACCCATAATCTTTAGAACCTGTTCATTTACAACAGAGCTTTCTAATGTAGCATAGGGTAGCAGCTCTTGAAATAGACATGACTCACATATCAGAAAGGGACAATGTTCAAGAGCAAAAGTATTACACTGAGCACACTGGCAGTTAGAGAGCTCATCATAAAGTGCTTCCTGTTATATTGATGTTTGTCAAACTAGGGCAGCAGCAGTGCCTGTTACGTTCAGGATGTTTGTACAGAGCATCATTCCTCCTTATGTAACAGTACAATTACACTTTGGAATGAGAAACAGACCTCAAACCTCAAAGAATTCCAGCAATAAAACCTGATCCAAAAAGCACAGTCTTTTGTGCCTTTCAGATTGTCTTAAAACCTTAAAAACACATTAAAAACTCCCATTCTAAAATGGAATCCCTACCCCAAAGCCTAAATCAGTCATTCATTGATTCTGAGAAACTGAAAATATTTGACCAGTGTTTTTGACTTGCTCATTAGAACAAAAAATGGTAGTGCTTGAAATGGCAAGAGGTGCCAACAGTATTTCTAGCAAGTCACAGACAAGCATTTTGCCCAGCAACATAAGAATGCAAGAGGAGCAGCTTGTAAACATGGTCACTAATCACAATAGTGTCATTCTGAGCTGCAGGTACAGTCAGTGCAGTTTTCAGGTCAGACCTTCAATCTGATTGATGGGTCAGACCTTCAATCTTAATTAATGAATTGCCCATTTGTCAATCTGATCACCAGCACAAATGTAGTGAGGATCTAAAATTTGATTTCCAACTCAATGCAGCTTGCAGGTAACATATTAAATTGTACCTAAGCTTGTCTTCATATAATGCAAAAAAATGCTTTACTTCTGTAATGGTGTTCACTGCAAAATTAAAACAAGGCTTATTTTCATAATTCCTTCATAGCTGGTTTGAGATTAACTGTACATGAAATTTGCAGTTACAATCTTGAAAATACAAGAAGGCTAATGTGTAATACAAGAATTTAGTCCACACAGTCAATGGAGACTTAAGCTTAAATTGATGTTGTGCATCACTGAAACTGTTCAGAGGCATTGTAGTTTGTTGAGATTATTTTTGTGATGGAAACATATATAAAATAATATTAACTGGTATAATCATAATTTTCACAAAATTAAAGCTAAAAGGAAAGCAAAAGTAATAATTAAATGCAGCTACTAAACCATGATCAAAAGTTTCAAACCTAGGAAAAAAAGCAGGGCACAGATTTTCATTCTGCTGTTCCCCTTTAAGACCTTGTGTGCCCAAAGGAGAGGACTGTTTCCTTCTCAACCGCAAAGCCACATTTGTACAACAAATCAAAAGAAACTATGAAAAAAAGGCCACATTTTGCTTCTAGCAAATGAAAGAATTCTAGACTTTAAAATATATTTAAAACACTACACTAACTAAAAAGTCCATAAAATGGAGTGTTAATATCAATTCTGAGATCTGACTTTAGTGTTTTGAGGCTGGAGACGGATACCGGAAAAAGTACTGGATCAGATCAACAAGTACCATAATACTCCAAAGGAACAAAAAAAATAAAAAACTATACTATGCAATTTGACTGACATGTTCAACCCCTGCTAGAGAGAGAGCTTCATGGTTGCCAACATCACTCTAAGACCACCTGATTGTTAGAAGAGCTGGACCAGCTTCCTCTAAAACAAAACGGCATGGAGGAGATCAACACAGAAAAAGCACAAACATCCATCTCATTTCTTCTACAGTCTTTCATGTTGGGTCAAATGAGGAAAACTAACTTTCTCTATACACAATTGGTATTCTCAGCACCCTTTCAGCAGCTCTGAAAATCAAAGTTACTCCAGGTCTTCCGGCAGGGTCTTAAAGACTACAGTATTAAGAGTAGGAGAATGGAGAAGCTTCTATAAGTCAGTTATAGAGAAGGGGCTGTGCTCTTTTAAGCAGCTGAGCCAGTTAATCCAACACAGAAGGGCAACAGCCTAGTACACCCTCCCAGCTCCTCAATCCAAACATATGTGCATATCAGTCTGTAAACAGCACAGCTGTGTTGGTACAGTAGGAGAGCTCTGTACAAAAGGAGTCTGAATGGCAGGGAAGAGAGCGAAGCACACCAGCCCTCTTGTCCAGTTGTGGCCAACCAGGAGTCCAGGGATGCCCCACCTCTTATCTGGGCGAGCCCGGCTGCAGCCTTGGGGACAGTCCCCTCCTGGCGTTGGTTGACTGCCTCTGCTGGGCCAGGAAGGACTGGGCCTGGGTGGAGCCGCCAGCTCTCTCCATTGTGACTTTCTGATGAAGGGCCATGCCCTACAGAAACAGCGAGCAAAAGGAAAAGCAACCGTCAGAGGAAAAATGCTGATAATTTGCCATCAGTGACAGCAGCTAATATCACACCTCCCACACCCCCCAGTCACAAACCGTGGTAAAATCAGGGTTTGGTTTTTCTCATTTTTAATTTTGTGAATTGAAAAGTGTCAGCAGATCAGCAGTTCCATCAGTCAGAACAGTTACAGGAAAAGTAAAAGGCTGATCAGAGCTCTTTGTCACTCCCTGCAATTAGACATCAATACTCATCTTGACAACTTTCTTTAAATTATATGCAAAACTTAAATCCCTGTACTGTTTTATAGCGTCTCAGATTAAGATGGTCGGACATTATAGCTCACCATGTTGTACCAGGCAGTGATGATGAGCTTCTCTTCCTGGTCGTGGCGAGACCTGGTCTTCTCAAAGTCATGCTGCAGGGAGAGCGGATTTTACTGTCTGGACTCCAGAAGCAAAGGCAACTGCTCATTAAAAAACTGGTCAATTGCCATGAAAGCCACTACTGGATTAAAAAACAATCCCACGCTGTCCCTCTGTAGATTTGTGAATTCAGTTGACTGCTATAAAGAGCAGCAGTTCAAAGACAATGTCTAGTGCCAAGATGACGGAAAAAGAGAGGTAGTGGGACCATTACTTTAGAAGTGGACAGTGAGTCCCCTTCCCACAATCCTTGTGCTTGGGGACCCCATCTAAATGCAAGGAGTAATGTCAGCAGTGTCCAACACTAGACCTGCAGATCAATGCCACCTCCTGGCTCCCATTTACCCACGCAGCTCTCACATGACTTCAATAAAACAACCACTGCCTCATGAGAATAACGTGATCTTCAGCAACTCTTCAGTCCTGAAGAGACCCCCAGTCCTCAAGGTTTATCGTTATCCAACTATAAACCTCAAGGACTGTGGGTCTCTTTAGTACCAGAAGCTAAATATCACCCAGGGACACAGAAGAAAGGTGCATTTGGATCCATGGGCATTTAATGAACACCATTAGTCAAAAATAGAAGCACATGGTGACAAGCTCTCACCTCCAGATACTGGATCTTCCGGTCCTTCTCGCTCAGCTGGTTCTTTAGTGCCAGGACCTCGTCAGACACAACCGGCTGCTGCTTGGGGCCGAGGGTTTTAATCACCTGTCAAGCACCAGAGTTGGGCCACAGGTCAGTCACATAGCAAGAACATATAAAAAACGGACAGCTCAGGGTTCTGCTCCTTTTAGAACTGGACATTATACAAGGGTTCTGCCACAAAGTTTAACAGTGAAAAGGAGATGGAAGTCTTGATGTGGACATACCAAGTTACTAATGCAGGAAATAATACCTATGTACTCTTGATGCACTGCCTTGAATGTGCAGTGTCATATGTGAAGCATGATTACAGTGCAGGATCCACAAAGACCAGACACGTACAAAACAAGAAGCTCCACTATAGGCTGTCCAAATCACCTGGCTCAACCCGTCCCACTAAACTCAATGCCTGGAACTGGAATTGATTGCAGAAAAGGGCTCCTGATCTCATTCATACATGGCACAGTTTTCCACAACATGCAGGTGCCCTGTAACAATCAAAAGGTGGCACCATCCAGTAGACCCAGTTAACCGTTTGCCAATCCTGCATGTGGCATTAGAATAGCTGTTTTTTCTAACCAGGGTATCTGCCTACTTGTGTCAAATTCTCTAGTTAAATCAGACTCTCAGCTCTAACCTTGAAGTACCAGTGTGTCTCTGGAGCTTCTTCCTGAGCTGGGAAAGTCTTAGCGAACTTGCTGGCCCATGACAATGCTCTGCAAAGACACAGCCAAGCACACCCTTCCCATCTGCCCTGCACACTGCCCCCTGCTGGTGACTGACCGTGCGTGCCTTAACCATGTATCTCTTGTAGCGATCCTCCATGGCCTTCATGTCCTCGTCTTTTTTCCGCAGGATCTCCTGAAGCTCGTCGATCTTTCTCGCCACTGAAACAGCAAGGAGGGAGAGGAGCCTTGGTCACAGCATTCCAAATACAGGGTACTTGTATATAATAATTCCTTACACTCATATATTCTGGGAAGAGGTTAGTGGGGCCAGCAGGGGGCACTCACCCTGCGGTCCATGTGGGTCCTAATGCCCCAGTATAGTGACGGGGACACTATACCGTAAACAGGCGCCGTCCTTTGTATGAGACGTAAAACCAAGGTCCTGACTCTCTGTGGTCGTTAAAAATCCCAGGGCGTTTCATGAAAAGAGTAGGGGTGTAACCCCGGCGTCTTGGCCAAATTTCCCAATGGCCCTTATCAATCATGGCCTCCTAATAATCCCCATCTATAAATTGGCTACATTACTCTGCTCTCCTCCCCACTGATAGCTGATGTGTGGTGAGCGTTCTGGCGCACTATGGCTGCCGTCGCATCATCCAGGTGGATGCTGCACATTGGTGGTGGTTGAGAGGAGTCCCCATTACCTGTAAAGCGCTTTGAGTGGAGTGTCCAGAAAAGCGCTATACAAGTGTAAGCAATAATTATAATTATTATTATTATATTCAAAGAGCTTTACAAGAACTCCCCTCCACCACCACGGTGTAGACCTGCCCACCAGTCCTCTCACCACACATCAGCTGTCAAAACACTGGATGACTAATCCCATCTCTGATCCTGGGAAGCTTGCATTAAAAATATGTAGACTGATGGACGCACAATAATTTATTCCCATCAAAAATCAAAAATTAGATTAGCTGGTGTTTTTCTGGGACTGGGAAGGACCATCTTAAGCAAGGACTGCAAGACTGTTACCTTCTAAACTCACTCAAAAGCTATTTAAAAACAGGAGAGAACTGGATTTTGCATGCTTCCAAACGATAACCTTATGCCCTAATGGAGCCTATCTAGCTGGTAAAAACCCCATGCAAGGACAGAGAAGCAGAACAGCGTCAAATGCAGCTGTCAGCTCAACTGCCAACACCAAGCCCTCAACCCTCAGCTCACAAAATCAGCCCCATGCTCGCTTCCCGAAATCAAGACCCTGAGGCTTTTCTGAGGCCGTTTTTTTTCTCCCTCACTGGACACTTCCAAAACGAAACAAGACAACGTGGTTTGAGGGTCTCCCCTGTGCTACGGTCTCAAAGGGGAAAACATGAACGCACTGCCGCTGTCTGCGCCGGGCTCCAGGTCATCAATGTACTCCTTCTTCTTCTGGAGGTCTGAGTGAGCTTCATGCAGCTTCTCCCTGGACAGGCAAGAAAAACACTGCATTAACCAGCAGACAATTAAAAAAAACAAAAGAACTGAAAATAAGCCTGTGCCGACTTACCGCTTAGCGGCAAGGCAGTTCATGGGCAAACCGACTCGACTGAAATTGTTTTGCCCATATTTCTCAAACAGTAATGAGCTGCACGTACAGTTTTTTTAATCTGGGGTAATGAGCTGCACGTACAGTTTTTTTAATCTGGGGTTAAGCGGAGAATATTTCCATGCATAGTAGCAGCTTCTAAGAGCCAATGACCAAAACACCTCCCATTTACGCATTGCAGGGCTCAAGAACAAACTGTAATGTATGCGTTTACAGCTTAGACAGCAGCACACTTAACTGGCTAGGCTCCACATGTCACAGGCGGTAACTGGCAACAATAAATACTTGACCCTGCCAAACTGCTCCAAAGAGGATTGCTCCGATTTTCCCTAAGGGCAAGTTTTCCCCTGAGCCTAGAGGTATTTGCTACAACAAGCAGTGTGTGCAGTAGCATGGGAATGGCTTCATTGTCCTTGACATATCCTGGGAATGCTGGGGAGGTGTAACCAAGGTTCAAGCTCTAAATCTGATCAACAATCCTTGCAGCACAAGCACCAGTTCCCTCCTGAAGTAAAATCTGCAATGACTGGTGTAAAAAATAAGGAGAATAGAAATACAATCAGATATGCAGCTGGTATTCATTGGGTGGAAGAAGCATGGTGTGTATATGGGTGGGAAGGAGAGTAATCTAAAAAAACACCACAAACAATTCTACTCACAGATGCTCCTCCAGTTTCTTCTTCAGCAAAGAGGACTATAAATGGAAAAAAAAAGATGACCGATGAAGTTTTCTTTTAAAAAAACCCCACTATATCTGCTAATGCACTCGGAACTCAAACTGGCATGCAGGGGTGGGCTGTACTTACGATAGCCTGTGTAGAGAACAGCAAGCAATCAGGGGGAGAAAGAAAACTCAGGTTAGTGATTCCACAGCAAGGCAGGGTGCGTGTTAACTTTCACACACCCTGCAAATCACAGCAAATCACAAAAATCAGATGAGCAGGGTACACGATGTGTTCCACACAAACAGTTCACTTTGATATGGCCTGAAAACACACAGGTCAATCCGGGCCTACAGCTCACCTCGCCACCCACATCTCCTGTTTCTGTAAATACGACCCAGGACAAGCAGTATATTTACAGGGCCTAAAAATATCCCCGCATGCCTACTGGCCCCTCCGTGTCTTTATGTTGCCTGATCTCCACTGGGTGTGACCAATATATTTCACAAGAGGGCTCGGGTTGATAAGGGTGATTTGAAGGAAAGTCCACGCTGGCCCTCCGCAACAAACAAATTCTAAGCGGGAATCGGTGAAGGTGACTGGCTAAGGGATGCAAGGATATAAAGTAAAATTCAATTAAAGCAAGAAAAGGCGAGGTGAAGACGCTCATCTGAAGGAGTCAAGGTGCGTCACATCATTAGCAGATAGAGGGCCTCACAGGCCTCATCAGTCAATCAAGGCCCTTTAAACAGGGCGAACCAACTCATTTAAGAAAGCACTTTTTTAAGGAAACAGATGGAGAGAAAAAGCACAAGATCCTGGGAGCCCCAGCAGTGCATAAATACAGCAGTGCCCTTTGCAAGAAGACCCCCCCACTTCCCCTTGGCAGAGAAACGGTGAGCAATCTCCATCACGCACTCACATCCTCAGTCTTGCTTCCTTGCTCCTGCAGGGCTTTCTGCAGCTCCTCCACCTGGGACCGCAGCTCGGAGACCTGCTGCTGGCTGAGCCTGGCAGGGGTGGGGGATTGTGGGGGGAGACGGCATGGGATCAGAGAGAAACAGACACAGCCCCAACACACATTTCCCCTGCCTTCAAAAGCTGATGACTCCTAGCTGGCTCCAGCCTTCACAAGGGCTCAAGAGTTACTTTATTCCCCAAAACTGACTTGCAAGATCAAGTAGAAAGTACACAGCTGGGAGTTTATGTACAGCTGTTTTACTAATCGTCAAAGCACAGAGGTGTCGTGTGGCATGTGCCATCACCTCCTGCATAAAAGCTTAGATTTAGATCCTGAGCATAAAGTGTCCAAGCTTCCAAATACCGTTGTGATTTTGCAAGCTCCATTTCGTGTACATTATAGTCCCTGTGTAAATATGGTAGGCTTGGCACACTGTCATGGAATTGAAACCCCTGTTCCACATCACTTTTATCCATATCAGGATTTTCAAGCTGCTGGCCCATGTGTTCAAAGCCAAGAAGAGCTGTTAGGATATTTCATGCTATTGATTGTTAGCTTCTTGTGGGTGCTTGGACACAGGACACCCCTGGTGTGGTTCAGATAAGCATCATGGATATATATTAGATTTTTGTTAGTGGAAGTGTAGTATTTCTTTTGCAAGAGCCTATGGCTAAATTGAAAAACACAGTTAAGAAACAGGAGGGCCAGCCAGGCCCACCAACAGATCCTGCCCCAGACTCAAGGAAGGACAGATGGACACACCTGTTCTCAGTCTCCAGTCTGTTCTGACTGCGCTGGGCCTCCTCCAGCTGGCTCTCGGCCTCTCCCAGCTTCTGCCGGTAGCTCTCCTCCTGCGCACACAGCATCTTGTTCTCATTCTGCAGCCGGACAATCGTCTCTCTGGCAGTGGAGAGACGGCACACAGGACACAGAAACACCAATTTACATCCGCCAGCCTGAACACATTGACCCTGTGTTAGAAACCCTACAGTAGCTACCAGCGTCTTGAAAATTTTATTGACACTTCACAGTGCAGGTCCACCATATTTATCTTAACTGGTTGCACAACACTATTTGTACCTTCACATGGAAGTCAGTGTACGGTACTTGGTATTTATATACCCAGCTGTCCTATGCAAACGACAACATTGTGAACCCTATGAACACTATAGAACAATAGCATTTGATGCATGTGCAAATGGAACAAAGAGAACCACATTTGCATGGACATGGCAACACACACTAAGTAGATGGTGTTCATGTGAACAAATTAATGTCCATAAAGACCAGCACATGTGGAAAGAGAGAAACCAGATGAACAAAGCTGTGTTTTGTCAGCTGCCATCCTCCGGAGAAACGTAGCGTTTGAAATGTGGTCTTGTATGCAAACTGATCATATTATTTTGCTCCTCGTGGATTTTTCACAATTTTGCTTCTTGTACGGGTCTGCTAGCATCTTATGCTGCACTGAATTGTGAATCACTCTACAGACACCATCGGGTATTTTTTTGCCTCAGAAGCTTCCGACCAGAAGTGACGGCACCATTCTCAAGGGCCCCAGTCATCCCAGTCACAAACTGTTTTCTCTCCTACTGTCCGTTAAACGGTATCGAGCTTGCAGAAAAGACATTTCATTGCCAGCAACTACTGCTGCATGCTGTATTGTTGTGCATTTGATAAATAAACTTTGATTGGTTGATTGACTGATGTATACAGAACAAGACAAGCTTGGATCCCAATGGTAAAAAATAAAGATCCTATATGGCCAAAGGGTCTTTCTGGTTTTTGTTGCAGCTTCATCTGTCAATCAACAAGGCTGATTATTGGCACAGGTGGAGGTTCTCACCCCTTGCCAGCCCCAAGAGGTCTCTTTTAGCTGAATGAAAAGACAGACGCAAGGCTTGGCCAGAAGACAGCAATTCGGTCCTGTTAATTAAACAATTAAGTAGCCGAGAGGAAAAGCCAAATAAAAAAAAAAGAATTATCTTGGTATTCACAGTGGAAGATTAAAGAGAAAAAGAAAAACCTTTAAGCTCAGATTTAATGAAGTAAAACAAACTAGAAAAATGCCTCAGGTGACTTCAATATTGAACAATCTCAGGGCACCTAAAATAGTTAAATAGGGCCTGACTATGTTGGTCCAAGAGATCTGGAAGAAACAAGGTCCGTCACTCAAGGATCATTAACAGCACTTTCAAGTGCCACATAAGAACACGCTGTAGACCTTCCAGACACCCAGGTTTCTCTGTGCATCTAGATTCCTTCCAAACAGGCAATGCAATAGCTTTGTCAACAACAAATGGCAGTTTTACAGGATTCACCTGAACTCTGTGGGCAAACTATCTGCCTGTAGGTTACCCAGTGTGCTGGAATCTTCATGGAGTGCACCTGGAAGAGAAAACAAAAACATGCGAGATGCAGGTATGAACATACTTTAGTGACAACATAAATGGCAGCAATTTCCAACTCTAGTCCTAGGAAGCATTACATGGTCTAGATTTATAATCCAATTAGGTACTCATACACAAGGTAAATGATGATGCACACCTGTTTTATACAGAGCTCATGCGTACATAAAAATGGTGTAGCTAAGGCTGGACTGCAGGCTCCCGAGCAGCTCAACCAGTAAAGGCAATTAACAGTGCACTCAGGTCTCACTGCGGTGATCTGAGCAGTTTGATCTAAAAGGAAACTGGATCGTGGCTTCTAGCAAGACTGTGGCTGAGATTACTGAACTAATGTCCCACAACTGGCAGAGTGCCATTCAGTCTCATTTCTCCCAACTGGGTACAGGAGTCCCTGCTGAAAAGCCTTACAAAACTATTGATTCCACAGGGAATGCCAAATTTCTGATGATAGAAAAGCTCTGATGTGTTATTCGAATCCCTCAGACATGATCTAAATCGGATTTACATCAACTCGAAGAGCCCTGATACACATTTGATCAAATGCAGAAAATGCAGAGTGTAACAAGTAAAAGACTCCTGCTGATGTTTATATTAACGAAGCACAGTAGAAGTGTGGGACTCCACTATTTTTGGATGGTTCCCATTATGAATATGGCAGGGCAGTGGACAAAAAATGTTTGTTACATTGTTAATGTATACCAGAATGTAGACGCAGAAGGCAAAGTTATGACTAAGATGATTTCCCTGTGACTCAGCATGCCAGTACTGCTGCCCCCATGCCCCGCCCATCTGTCCAGAGCTTACCTGCTTGGCTCAGGTACCTCTGCTGCAGGTGCATACAGCACAGCTCATCATAAGCCTCTCGCAAGGCGTCTCTCTCAGAGATCAGACGCTGCAACAACAGGAGACACTTCAATGAAGTAACGCCTGCGTCGCCTGTTGGGAGCTCAGGCAACAAGAAACAAAACTGCAGCTTTGAAAAACCTTCCACTACAACAAGCTGATCATGGTTTCTTTCTTAAATTCCAAAACAAAAAATTCCAGTGGCACAAAATCAGCATCTTATAGAATCAGTAGTCAACAATAAGGCTGTTCTTCAGTTAGACAGTAGATGTCAGTAATGTTCCTTGAATGACTCCCATAGATCACAGTTCTATTACGTAGCCCACCCACAAAAAGAACTCTCCTTCAACAAAACACTTGGCACTAAACAGAGTATCTGGAGAGCTAAGCCCTGCATGACATGCTGGGCCTAACACCTCCACGAAACACAGAAGAGGCTGATGTTTTAACAAGGCTAATTGGAAAAATGCAGTTTATACGTCAGCCTTTTCACAGTTACCACAATAAATGCTTTTATATTTCAGTAGCACCAGGTTTACAACAAAAGGCTGCTGTGACACTGTAACTGGCACCAACCCACTTCACCATCTTAATTAATATCCGAAACCTGAAGGCCATTCGCCTACCTCCTTCTCCTGGAGCAGGGCCTCATACTTGACGTGGAGGGTCTTGTACTCGAACTGCCACTTCTCAGCCTTCACGGCCTCTGCCGAGTGCTTATCGCTGAGCTCGCGGACCTGCAGCAACGACACAGGCCTCTCAACGATACGCCTCTTCCCTCTGTATGCCCACACCCCCCCCAGGTCCCACAATATTGCCAGTATAACCACCAGCTCCCCCCTTACAAACATCTCACAGAACTAAACTGTCTCCCTAGTCCTCTGACTCTGACACGAAGGTGGAGATATAATAAGAAAATACCCAGCTGTGGAATAGCTTCACTGGTCTATATTACCACTATTCCCAAGTCTTTACTCATTAGATCAAACAGTTCCTGTAAAACTCTATGATCAGGAATGAATATCACAGAACAGAGGAATGAAGATCAATGTAATATTCACTTAATAACAGTGCTGGCCCCCCTGAACCCCCTCTCCTGGTGTTAGGCAAACAAATTGATGAGAACAGAAGAACTACCCAGTCAGACTAAAGGTTCAAGTCAAACTCAAGGGTGTGCACTTCAAGCAGACACTAGAGATACGACAAGTCCTGCTGCTTTTAAATTCAGTCCAGATGTGAGCCAGGTCATAGCCTTTACAGTGCACTTAAAGATTAACCTGATATTTTAGAAAAAAGGAAGGAACTTGTCCGCTCACGCATGCCTGAAATCTCAGATTACTCCAATGTTGGGACAATATTCTGAAACCAAGGTATTTGAGAGTTACATCTTCCTCTGTTTTTTGGTCTCTATCTAATCAAAGAGCTCTGTCCACCCTGCTGGACTGAGGCTCCTCCAGAACAGGGCTGTGGGACACCAGGCTCCGTGCGGACCTGTCTCTTGTAGCTGTCCAGCTGGCTGCGGACAGTGTTGGCCTTGCGCAGCTCCTCCTCCAGCTCGCAGGTCCGCGTCATGTAGACGGTGTTCCTCTCCTCCAGCAGCCGCACTTGCCTGCGCAGGTCGCCCAGGTCCTCCAGCTTCTTCTTGTAGGTCTCCACCATGGCTTCCAGCCGGCTCACCTTGTCCGAGGAGTGTCTGTGGGCAGCAGATTGGCAGATGGGCACAGCACCACAGCCAGCAGGGCCGGCTCAACCCCCTCTGACTGAGGCCACGGCACCCAAGCATTTTAATCAGGCCCCGTTTTACTATTCTTCTGCATTAAGAAAATGAATTACCCGGCCAAAATAAATTATTTAATTGGTCTCAATTGGTTATTAATAGGAGGCACAAACTAGCTTCCTAAACCTGGTTCTTGCAATGCTAGAGCCCTGGGCTTTCCAATGCTTTATTTGTTTTTAAGCATCTAAAATATTTCTGATTTCCAGATGCTAATGAAAGCACAACGTAAAGTGACACTGTGGGCTAAGCATTTAGGGCAGTGCAGTGGCTCTGTGGCTAAGGTTCTGCGCCTGTGACTGGAAGGTTGCCGGTTTGCATCCCGCGGCCGGCAGAGGAATCCTACGCCGTTCAGCCCTTGAGCAAGGCCCTTAACCCCAACTGCTCCAAGGATGCCGTATGAATGGCTGACTCTGTGCTCTGACCCCAAGCTTCTCTCCCTGTCTGTGTATCTCATGGAAAGCAAGTTGGGGTATGTGAAAAGACAAATTCCTAATACAAGACATTGTATATGGCCAATAAAGTGATCTTGTCTATAAGATTAACTAAAAAAAAAAATCTTGCATCTAGATTAATAAATAAGACCTGTGCCTTCAAGCCAAATGCTTGGTAGTTGATACACCATTGCTGTTTGGAGACAGAAATCACCACACCTATTGTACACACAGATATAATCAAAGAGCAGAACAAACAAAAAAACTTTGTCCTTTAGAAGCATTTAAAAGGTGCCACATTAGCCAGTGACAGAAGGGGGCAGTAGGGAGGGACAGCAGCTTGGTGTGACTCACCGCAGGACATCCATCTCATCCTTGAGGGACTGGGCCTCCTCAGCCAGGCTGGCCAGCTCCTCATTCCGATGCTGCTGCTCTAGCACCTCCTTCTCCAGTATCTCCGCACGGATCCGCATATCATCTTTGGCATTCTCCAGCCTGTGTCATGCAGCATGTGCAAGAGGAAATACACTGATGAACATCCCTTGCAGACAGGTTCTAAGCCCAAGCCTGCCCACCTAAACATGGCAAGAGTTTGTCATGTTTAAAATCCTAGCGCCAGCAGCCATACCACTCTGCAACTCACAACTGGCAGCCCACTGAAGCTCAGCAGGTGTGAGCCTGGTCAGTACCTGGATGGGAGACCTCCTGGGAAAAACTAAGGTTGCTGCTGGAAGAGGTGTTAGTGGGGCCAGCAGGGGGCGCTCACTGGGGCCCCTAATGCCCCAGTATAGTGAAGGGGACACTATACTGTAAACAGGCACCGTCTTTTGGATGAGACGTAAAACCAAGGTCCTGACTCACTGTGGTCATTAAAAATCCCAGGGTGTTTCTCGGAAAGAGTAGGGGTGTTACCCGGCGTCCTGGCCAAATTTCCCATTGGCCCTTACCAATCATGGCCTCCTAAACCCATCTCTGAATTGGCTTCATTACTCTGCTCTCCTCCCCACTGATAGCTGATGTGTGGTGAGCGTTCTGGTGCACTATGGCTGCCATCACATCATCCAAATGGATGCTGCACATTTTTGTTGGTGGAGGGGAGTCCCCATTACCTATAAAGCACTTTGAGTGGAGTGTCCAGAAGAGCACTATATAAGCGTAAGGAATTATTATTATTAACAATGTACTGGTATTAGCACTGCTTGGTGGACTTGCCTGCAATTGACTGGCGTCCCAGCCAGGAGGTGTCCTGTACTCTCAGTTCAGTTAACAGAGAGATGCTCCAGCTACTAAGGCTTAACAAGAACTTAACCTACTGTTCAATTTAAAGCAAAACTGGATAAATTTTTTCATATTAAAGGAGATCTAGAGTTAATCTGGCGCCGGAGGAATTGTGGACTGTAAACACGGACTGGTGTTGCTCCCTACCTGTAGTTCTCCTCCTGCAGCTGCTCCATCTGACTCTGAAGCAGCAGCAGCTTTTTGCCAGTGATCCCAGCAGAGACGTCCAGAGGGTCAGAGCGGCTCAGTCTTTCCTTCAATGACCTCGTCTCGGCCAGCAGGGCATTCTTCTCCTCCATGATCGCAGACACCTGAGCCAGACACAGAGGAATCCAAAATCAGGAGACTAGTGCGTGTATATTTATACTATTAAAAATGTAGAACATTATACACATGTCCTGTGTTAGCTATACCGTGCTGATAAGCAAAAGCTGCCTGCAGCCTGCAACTTTGATTTGATACATAAAAAGTACAATTAGAAACCTGTTTAGATGGATAAGCATTCTACCACTGTACAACAAAATTGAATCAATATTCCCACGATTCATAGTCCGTGCTTACTGTTAAAACACCACAGCCTCAAAAACACAAATACACATATATTACAATGCCCTTCTCTTTGTTTATAACAAGACTAACTTCCCTTTTTGTATGATATTTATTCTGACATTTTAAACTAATTTGGAGAGTTCCCCCCCCCCCAAAGTCCACATATTTAAAATCTTAAACATCTGACTTACCCAAGTAATTTGTTTATGACTTTAAGGTTAAATTCTGGCTAGATCAAATGTTCCTAAGCATCAAGATAACACATATGCATATGTGAAGAGGTTTAGAAGTGCCTTTAAAGACATCCAAAAAATGAAAACCATCATGAAAAACCTGGTATGGTATTCCTGCATTTCTTGCTAAAACAGTCTGTGTAAAAGGCCAGAGCGAGCAGGCTGCTGGTACAGCGGTGAGCGTCATAGCTCTTAAGTCCATGTTTGATCGCAGGCAGAAGTGTGTGAAGTTCGCAAATTCTCCCCATTTCCACATGGTTTTTCCTCTCACCTCCTAAAATCATGCTGATGAGGTTAACTGGGGTCAACATGGAATCTGTCCATGTTGCGATGGACTGGTATACTGTTAGGGGAGCAGTCCTGCTTGGCTCCAGGACAGGCCCAAGGTCTGAAGACAAGGCCCGACTTTTTTTCTATTTGTAGAAAATCAGCATTGCTCTCACTGAAACATACACAGCCCCTGCCATATTGATGAAGAGCAGCCCCAGAAATGCTGCCACTCACAGGGTAAATCTTAGGCCTTGACATGACCATCTTCATCAGGCCCTGTCTGGCACAGAAGGCCAAGTAAGCAGACGGCCTGTGTGCCTCGCCCGTTTGCGCTTTGTGTTGGAGCTACATTACCCTAAACCAGATCAAACCAAGGGAACAGCGCCTGTGTGCCTAAGTCTTTTCAGTTTCACAGGTTGGTTGTGCTTCACGGACGAGCCCATTGTGCTGGTTTGGCCTCCATGAGCCGCTGGGATGTTGCACTGCAGCAGACGAGAATTAGTCCACATTCCAGATGCAGATGCACATTAACAGTCAGACATGCAAGGAACTGGGTGACCCCAGGGAAGTGTCCATGTGGCTACTTCTGGACTGATCTTCAGCCAGCTGAAGTAGACCAGTAGCTGACAGGTTAATTCAAAGCGAGTTGCAGACCTAGGGGGCGTGGACCAGCTGCTGTGACAGAACCACTTACAGTGCCTTGCGAAAGTATTCGGCCCCCTTGAACTTTTCAACCGTTTGCCACATTTCAGGCTTCAAACATAAAGATATAAATTTTTTATTTTAT